GAACTCTTTGTATTACTATTTGCATTATTACGTTGTTTGCCCCCCATGCTTAGCTCGTATTACCTTACTTAATTTCCAAGAATATTCTCTGAGGTAGGTATCGTTATATTTATTTTGCAGTCGAGGATGGCTACATGCATATCTCATATATGACAATGTGTGCAAGGCACATCCAATTATCACAGTGACCAGCTCGTAGAATGACTTGATAGATGGTAGCTGTTATTATTGGCTTATTTTTAAAGTCCAGAGCCAGTTTCTCTGCTTTCCCTGGGAGTGGAGGGACCAAGGTGACTGGCAGGCCAGCTTCTGCCCTGTGGTCAGTTTCTTGGAGGCCCCTAAGCACTTCCCAGGAGGCCGTGAGAGCTGTGTGGTGCTGGGAGTGGGGAGAGCCACCTAGAAAATGTTGCATACATTGTCAGAATCTGGCATTTGCCACCTCCCCCTCACCCCCACCGAGGTGCACAACCCTGAGACACCTCCTGCTTCCAGACGCAGATCAGGAGTGGTTCTCCCCATGACAAGCGTGTGCAATGCAGTCCTCCAGATGTAGCGCTCTGCTCAGCAGAAGCCTCATTCCCAGAAACCCTCACCTCTCAGGTGTCTGTGGCCACCCTGAGCAATACAGCCTCCCTGAGTCTGGTTCTCCATCTGCCTCCATCTCCATCTGGTTCTCCAATGCCAACAAAGGCTTGTATTTTTTTAGCCACACACTACACAGTGGGGTTGTTCGAGGAGTCAGAAGCAAGTGGCTGGGGATGCTTTGAAATCCCTCCTAAACCAGATCCCTGGGGTACATGCTTCTCCTGCTTGTGGTATTGACAGAAACCGAAGCGGGGAGGCCATTTCCACTGACACGAATGGCTTCTTCTGGGGGGGAGAATTCAGGTTTTATAGATGTATCTTAAAGTAAATGCGTTAAGTTTGCAGTGCTTGTCAAAGATTGGCATTTTAGGAGCCTGATATAAAGCTCCGCAGCCAACCACATGGCTGCTTCGGCGGCTTGCATGAGATGCCTCCGCGGCTTGCACGAGATGCTTCTGCGGCTGCCTGTGCTGGAAACACGCACACGAACGTGCGCACGGAGGTCCGCACGGGCGCATGCGCCGCCTGCCCGGCCTGGGCCTCTGTGTTCAGGGTATGGGACGTGAGTCCCATACGCTGCGGACTTGCATGGGCCTCTGCGCACGCTTTGCATGCCCGCTGCGGCTGTGCGCATGTCTGGGCAGGGGCCCCCCCGAAAGCTGCAGGTATTCTTGGTTTCAGCTGGATAAGTTATTCTTCACTTCCCTTCCTAAAAACACAATTGCCTAGTGCTGCTGGCGCAGAGTCAGAATGGCCGCTGCCTTTCACCCCCGAGGTGGCTTCCTTCCAGCAGTGGGTGAGTGATCCCGGCGTCCGCACTCTCTAACCTTTTTTGGGACCCTTCTGCACAGAAGGTGCTCCAAAATCCGGAAGAGATGATCTGTTTGTCCGTGGCCTTGTCTCTGCCTATCACTCTCGTTCCCGCACCCTTGTTCCAGGAACAGTCAGCAGCATCTAGTTTTTGGTGTCCCCATTTTTCTGCCCCCCCCTTTTTTTTTTTGCACCTGTAAGTTTTTTCTTCCTAAGAGGCAAGGAGCCAGGGGTCCAGAAATGATGCTAAGATGTAAGTCCCTTGTCCCAGAGGCAATGTGCAAATAAGGTCTTTAGGTACGGATCGCTTCTCCCGAGCCCCTAGCAGAACAGGACAGAAATGCTCACTACCTTTGACGATGCTTTTAAATCCAACAGCAGCATCCTTAGGCTTACAGCTTCCATAACCCTTCCCCTGTGACCCAGGGCCAAATCCTGCAGGAAACTTGGAAATCTTACATTTCTACGTCCTTGACCATCAGGGGAGAAGAAGGCTGGGCGAGTACCTATCCTCTGTCCCACGGGCACCAAAAGCATTACAGCAACATGTAAAAAGGGTCTGTAGGGAAGACCCCTTGACCCAAGTTTCTATCGAGAGATCTCTGAAAATGCTGCTTGACCCATCCCCTGACGCACTTTTTCAGGTTAGAAATACATGTGTGATAAATAACTGCTGCAGCGCATTCCTGGTGGTAGGGAAGAAAGAGAAATAAGCCGGCCTCCTTTGCATTTGTGTCCAAACGGACATGGACATTCATGGAAAGATTATGCTTTGGGGCGGTGGGGGACAGTCCTCATGTTGATTGCCTGTGCCTTCTAGGCTCTGCTCTGGCAGCTGGCTTAACCACGGACCCCAACCTACGGATGAGTTTTGGGTGAACACGTGTGTAGGAGATGAGAGGTGCCCTTGGGAGGCAGAGGTAGAGTCCCCATGGTTCTGCAGGAGAGTCACACACTCCCAAGCAAATGATTCCTCCTGCTGTCTCTTCCACTAAACTTCAGTGACACTCTCCCCTGGAGCCATGGACAAGGGTCACTTGAACGTCCTACTTGGAAAAAAGCATCACGATGTTGCTAGTAGCAACACAGCCATGTCCCGGTTTCCTCGAGTCTTTTGACCTTTGCCTAATTTGGAGTGAACCAGAGCTAAGATCCTAGAGTACTTCTGGGGAGGAGATGGAGGAACAGGGGCAGAGGAAGGCACACCTCTGAGGGGCCTCGCAGGTGAAATGCCCCCCTCTCCACTCCACTCCTGAATCCACCAAGAGCTTCCCTGGAAGCTGAGTACACAGAGAGCACCAGGGTTGTGCAGTCAGAACCAGAGGAAGGAGAGATGGAGATCTGATATGAAAGCGGGGAGGCATGGCCCCTGCACAGGAAGAACACAGGTGGAAATGCACAGCTTGGAAAGGAAGCTGGGGAATCTGTGTCTGGGCATTGTGCCCCCAGCAGAGGGCACAGCTGCTCTCCCCCTTGTCACTCCTGCATGCCTGCCTGGTTCCAGATTTGTCCCTGCCTAGCTGGGGGACCGTGGAAGAAGCTCTCCCACCAAAATTAGCTGGCAGAGGCTGGCCATTGCAAAGAGCCCCAAAAGTGATAAGCCCGATGGAGGGCAGGAGTCTGGGGGCCAGGAACACCACCCACAGAGGGCTTCCCCCCCACCCAGCCTGGCTGCGACACCCTGATTTAGGCACTTGGTTCTAATTGGAATTGGTTTCTAATTAGAGTAAGGCAGCTCCCCCTGCCCCTCCCGAGAAAGGTAAACAGTACCCCTGCTCCTCTCCTCCCTGGGACAGTTGCTGTGGCGACCCCAGGGGCAGCAGCACCAATAACATGAGGGCACAAACAGAAGTGGTAGCTTCACCTGGCCCATCCAGCAGGTGCACCTTAAAGCCACGTGCCCCAAGCAGCGGTGACGGGTGCCCCGGCTCGGTGCAGTAGCCAGTCTCACTTGGCCAGGCTTGCCAGCCAGAAGGTGGCGCCTTCTCTCTCAAGAGAACCGAATGTGAAGAGGGGAAGAACCTCAGGCAGAGCAGAAATGCTTGAGATGGCCTCAGGCATGTCCAGGGGTGGAACCTTCTTTCTCAGTAAGGTTGAGAAGATCTCCCTGGGCTGCCCAAAGAGATTGCCTGGTGGAGATGGGCAAGGAGGAGTCATTAGTCTCTGAGCATTTCCATCTGCCTCCTTCCTTGAGAGGGATGGCCACATACAAAGTAGAAAGCGTGTGGCTCATGAAGGCTGACCCGCTTCGCTCTGCCACTGACTAGCTGTATGCTCTCAGGCAAGGGGCTCGAGCTCTATATGAGCCTGTTTCTTCATCGATCCTGACACAATATATCCTAAGACTTTAACCTAAGATGTCCTAAGGCTTTAAACTGGCAAGGAGGGTGTGGACATTAACACGAGTGTCTGTACGATGCCTGGTGTGTTTGACACACAAGAGTGGTTCGATGTTCAGTCGACAGGTGGCTGTTAGTTACAGTCCTCGGTAGCTAACCCGTACCCCCGGTAACGGGCCCATCCCCACCACTCACCATCAAGGTCTGTGCTAATTGAAGAGGAAGGCCCTTGAGAAGGGAGTGTACCTGGGATATTGATGCCAGCCCATTGAGCAGGGGTGAGAAATTCAAAGAGAAAGTCCCTAGGAGATAGATCATGGGATAGGTTGGTTCTTTCACATTTAGGACAGTTAGGAGCGCTGGCGACTTACCTTTTCTAAATTAAAATTAAAAAAAAATTTTTTTTTAAGGAAAAAAAAAGCACTGGTAGCTGCCAATATAGGCTAGAGTAAGGTTTCTGAAACTGCTAACAGTCCCAGTAACCATTTATGGGAATTGCTTTCAGAAGATACAACTTACAGGTAGATTCCATAGACCCACAATTTACATGGCAAAATCCGGTTGTTTGTACCACTGTAAGATAGTGACCTGTTTCAAAAGAATCCGTTATTTTTATTATGATCATATTCCTTACTTTTTAACAGGTTTAAATATACAAGAATGAATATTAATTCTTCAGCCAGTGAACTTTTTTTTATTAATTCAAGTTTCACCTATTTCTTGATTTTTTTTTGAGCGTTGTTTTATGTTTGTGGTATCTTATTTTTAAAAGTCAAATAGAATATTTTAAAGCCAAATAAAATGCCCTTCAGCTCCTGAGAGAGATCAGAAAGCTTTGCAAGGAGCCAGGAGTAATACAGACCCCAGGAATGGATCTTGTCACAGGCTCCAGCCCCCTACTACTGAGGACTGAGGAAGGCAGAAGCATCCTCGTCCCCCCGTGCGGTTCTGGCCTAGCCCTGCTGTGGATTAGCAGTGTGTGATCTTTGGCTAGTCCCAAGACCAGGTTTCCCCCTTTCATCTTGCCCCACCTTGCCATGAAGTTCAAAAGAGGGCGAGTTGATGAGAGATGGAGAGTTGAGAAGTTTTTTGAAACTCTTCTGTATTAAGTATGGATTTTCCTCCCAGTCCTCTGCCAACTTCGAAAACCCCTACACTACCCCTAGCAAGTGGCTCTCTCTCCCCAGCTTGAAACACCATCAAGAAAGGACATGTCACAGAATTCCTTATACACCCTTTTGAAATCATTCCTTTTGTTTTGCTCAGTGGAGAAGGGGCGCCAGGGGGCACCAACCTCCAGGGAAGTCACCCGATGAACTCAGGCAAGTTCTTGACTTCTCCCCTTCTGCCAAACCCAAGCCAGAACCCTTACCTCCCTACCTGGCTCTCAGGCTCCTGACTGCTTCCCTCAGCAAGGCCCCCCCAGGCCTGCTATCACATGCTCACTCATCATTTATGAACCCGAGCATCATATTTACTCATGGGTAACCTTCAGTCTCCTTGAGAGAACAGTTCATCTCTGGAGCCTCCCATTTCCTGCCTACTGAGGTCATTTGGTGAGGCCCATTCAGCAAAACCCTATTTTCATTAGCAAGGATGAAAAATGCCTGTATCACAACAAGGTGATCAGTTTGGATCAAGGCACTAGACACAATGTTCCAGATTGGTCCTGTTGCAAGTTCCAGTTCTTCTCACAGAGGAACCGGGTTTCTCCTACACTGGAGTAGGAAGCCCCGGATTGAGCCAAAAGGCAAAGTCACGGGACCTGCAACTGAAAAAGAATAAGGAGTGGGAAATTTCAAAGCAGAGATGTGATAGCCGGATTTTGTTTCCCAATATTTTTTTTCTTTTGAGGGTAATTACAGATAGCAAAATGAACAGATCTGAAGTGTGTGGTTCAATGAATTTAACAAATCTATGCACCACTGTCACCTACACCCCATGATCCTGGAAAGTTCCCTCATGCCGCTTTCCAATCAATTCAATCTTTCTCCTCCAGAGGCAACTACAGTTGATTCCTAGCCCCATAGTAACATGGATTTAGATTGGGTGGACCTGAGATCTGTAACTTTGGTCTTTGGTCATCTGGGCAAGTCAGCTTGAGAGTCTCATCAGCAGCTCAGATGTCTTTACTCCCTTAGCATTGAGAAGGGTCCTGCCTGAGTCCCTAGTGCTTGGCTCTGCTGTCCCCAATATGCCACCTAACCCCAAGGTTACTCTCTGAGCCACAGCCCTCCTTCCAGCCAAAGAGTGTAACATCAGTGTCCCAGGTAAGTAAGTGGCAAAAGCTCTTGGTAACATGGATCGTGCATGCTTTGTTGATTAATATCTGGAAGTGCAATGCACAGAGCCACAGCATGTCAAGCAGCATGTTGATTTTTCTTAAAGCACGGCACAAAAGGGAGACATTCCTTTTGTGCATTTCCTTTTAGAAATGAAGGATTCCATGACCACCTTCTTCCAGGCTTCTAGCCATCAAGATGGCCACAGAGCTGAAATGATTAGTCAGGGTGGAGGGTGGACGTTTGTGAACCCAGTCCATGAAACTGAAGGATCCTGATCCTCTTGGGTTAACTTAGCCAAATGTCTCGAAGGTGAAAAGCACTTTGTCTGTATGCAAAGCTTTGGTGTCTCTGGAATGTACCTTCTGCAGTTCAGTTCTTAATCACTGTGTATTTTTTCACTTGGACAAAGGCTGCCTGCTAATAGCATTTTCAACCACCTTCAGCTGCTACGCTCAGCTACGACAAGGCCTCGGGCTGAGCTGGCTGCCCTTCCTGGCACCATGATCCATTCCCAACTGACCTGCGCTGGGGAACATCACACATTCACACCCTGAAAAAATGGCTTCCCCCGTCACTATACAAGATGCCGGGTGGAAATAGAATTACCACACTTCCCTTCCTAAGTGTTTCCTACAGGATCGTCCGATTGAGGCAGGGAAGGGGGTGAAGAAGAGGGAGGAAAAGAGCCTGAGAGCGTGCAGGGCAGGAGCTCTCTTCTCTCTGGACAGAGCAGGTAGCTCAGGGGCTCCCAGCAAGCCCCTAGCAGCATAGACCTGGGGGCAGCTCATCTATGAACACAGGTAGCCTCTGCTGTCAGATCCCTGAAAATTACAGGAGCCTCAGCTCTTCAGAAGAGAGGCAGCTGCTGAGCCAGTGTGATTGCAGGCTTTCTTCCCCAAAGCCCGAGGCCAGGCATCTAGCCATGCCTGCGTCCTGCATGAATAACCACCTTCCAGCCCCACCCGGGAGGTCACTGAGTAGCGGACAGATTGCAGTTGGACTGAGCTGCCCCCTGAGCGGACCTGAAACCTCACGACCTCCTTTAGCAGCAGAACTGGCATTTGAAAAATGTGTGTGTGTGCAGGGGTGGGGGGAGGGAGACAAAAATGCCAAGGAACACCACCTGGATTGCTGAGAGGCTGGGAACAATCTCAGGGCAAGTTCTCTAGGCTGGCCTCTGAAGTCTTGAGAAATGGAAGCAGCTGGGGGCAAGGGGAGGGGCAGGCTTTGACGGCCGGCCACAGGGCCTTGGAGTCAGAGCTGTGAGGCTGAGCTCCAGGACTCAAGCAGGAAGAGATTAATTAGTGCCTCCAAGCCCAGCCCAGCCCCTTCTACAGAACAGGGAAGGGTGGAGGGTGGAGGACCTCGGGGCCAAAGGCACCTCAAACAGATAGTCCCATAATAATCCAGATACAGAATCTTCAACCTACAGCCCTCTCTCCAGCCAAAATGACCTCACTAATGAGGAAGAAGCCATAATGAGGGTTTGGATGCCTGGTAAACCTCACCTTCTTTGTTTCTGGGCTCTTAACATACACGCTAGCAATAGACTGTTATTCAGGAGCTTTACTGATTTTTTTTTTTCCCCACATCCGCCAGCTCAATCCAAGCCCGAATACCATGTATGGCAAAGCCAAAACATATATATTTGGTGACACAAATGTGATTTGTTGCCCTGGTGGAAAAGGGACAGAAGGAGAAGGGGAGGAGCCAGTATTTGGGGTGTGGTTCCTGCAGCAATAAGGGGCACCGGGAGGCAAGCAAAATGCCGCTTTTGTGAAAGCACATGAGCAGGGATGGACATGGGTGAAGGGGCTGGGGGAGGTTTGTTAGAACGCTCAGACCAGGAGGCCCCTAGACTCATCAGCTCCACATTTCCCCCGAGAGGACCCCACACACGTCCCCACACTTGCTGCCTTCAGGCTTGCATCAAGAAGGCACAGTCCCAGGTGAACCAACAAGATGACAAATGCCTCGAGCTCCATCTAAGAAAGGGCAGTCAAGGAGAGCACCAGCCATGTGTGTGCCTTAGAATCCAGGGCTGGAACAAGTCCTTGAAGGGCAGCCTCTGCCAGCTGTGAGCTCTTGTCCCACCTAACCCACTCTACACAGGGGAATAGCCACCCTGCTTTTAGTGATTTGCAAAGACTGGCACTGGAACCCTCTAGGATTAAAAAAATCTGATTAAAAAATCCTTACCCTTGTATAAATGTAGACTGCTGCAGGCTAAGTTTAGTGTATTTGAAGATCCAGATAAGGTTGCTATTGGGAAGATTGTGTGTGTGTGTGTGCGTGCATGTGTGTTTAAAATAGGGGAGAAAAAAATGAAGTTTTGTCTCACTAGTGAAAATGAGGGGTGAAATAAAAGGGGAAAAAGAGCAAGGGGATGTCGATGCAGACTTTCCAACAGCTCCCGAGGGCAGTTCCATTTCTGGACAAGCTCCCGTGCATGCCACTGGAATTCTCAAAGTCAAGCTGGCACGTCCCTCTATGGAGAGTTAAGCCAGATGACACATTGTCTTGCATCCAGCAAACTCACAGCCCTTGTTCATTTACTAGATATACCCATTATCCATCAATTCATCAATCAGCCGGTTTATTGAGTACTCTACCAGGCTTCACAAACCTGATCAATTTTTTTTAATTACATCCAGCTTGCACTCAGTCAAGCCCAGTAAACAAGATGAGCCCTCACACCCCACTTGGAAATGAACATGAGGGGCCGCTGGTCCTTGCAGTCCCTCACTACCAAACACCACAGCCCATGCTGATGAGGACCACGTGCTCCCCTTTGCAGATGGCGATGGTTTAGCTGACCGGCTGTCAATAATAGCATGGGTTTTGAGTATTTTCTCAGACACAGTGATCAGTCTGCTCGGGTCCAGCCACACTCTCCTCTAGACCCCTGTCCGATGTTCTGGATTTCTTCAGAGGGTGAGCAGGGAATGGGCACGGGCTGCGTCAAGGGAAATAAGCAGAACGACGGAGACTCAGTCATCCTCCTCATCCATCCTCATGGTGCCCAATCCCACATCAGAGGCTCCTCGGCCACCTCCTCCCAGGCACAGGAGTCGCTGGCCTCTCTCAAGATCTCAGTGCCTCATGCACCAGGCCTCACGGTCCAGTTCAGTTTTTTCATTTTCAAGAACTGCTACATGGCAAGTGAAGGGCTTGTAGATGTCCCGATGTGGAGTCATCAAACTCAGCCCCTGGGTACCACACACAGGGAGCCAGGAACACAGGACACGGCAGGAGCATGTTGCCCTGGGGCCTGTAGTGGTACCTGTTCGCCAGCCCAGGCTCCCAGCCTTGGCACAGGCCCCTATATTTCCACAGTCCCAGAACTTGTCATCAGGAGGTCGCCAAGCCTGTGTGTCTCTCCCGGGGAGGGCTCAATCCTGCCTTTCAGACAGGATCCTAGGTCTTCTGCACTCTTCTGCATTCCCACATCTCCTGCCTTCTTAAGACTAGTTCATTCATTAGCTTCTAGTCACCCAAATCCTTAACCATCACCTGTGTGGGTCAACCCACTCTCCCTGATCTTACTACTCCTCAGTCCACCTTTTCCTTCCTGGCTTGAACGAAATCAAGTTCAGGGGCAGCCCACAAGCATTAAGAGATGCTCTACCTAAAAGTGAAAATGCCTCGTTTTGGGGTAAGTAAAATTCCCACACCCCAAAAAAAGACCAGCAACACACGTTCACTCCCCACCCCGTGCCCCAGAGCCCTGGTTGTTCCAACTGTCTGCAGTCAAGGGCCCGAACCCAGAGATCAGCAGGGTCCGTTAGCTAAGTCGTTTGGCCTTCGGGGCTCGTGCAGCAATTAATTCACCTGTCTGGCTCTCTGTCTCGGTCTCTGTCCCTGTGTGTGTGCGCGCGCGCGCGCGCGTGTGCATGGTGTGCGTGCGCGCGCGTGCGCGCGGTGTGCGTGCGCGTGCGCGCCTGTGCGTGCCAACTCTGTCGCCTGTCTCTGCAGGGAAAGTCGCTGGCGGGCAAGCGCCTCACCGGCCTGATGCAGTCCTCCTGACGGTTCCCACCGCAGGGCCCGGGCCCGACGACCCCACGGGCAGGCGGCGGCGCTCCACCTCCGCGGACAGAGTCTCCCTACGGGGAGACCTGGTCACTGTGAAAGAGAAGGAGTGAGGGCGAGCACGGGCAGCAGAGGGGAGCCCCGGTGGGTGACCGGGGACACCAGAGAGAACAAGTCCACAGAGCCCGGGGTCGGCCCTGTTTACAACCCTCTCTTCCTTGTACAGTTGTGCGCCGACAGCCCGTTCTCAAGGAGGTCCCTGGCCCTAACTCGTTCGGGGCACACCACCTCGTGGGGCTCCTGTCGTGACTATCACTTGAGATTCTAATCTTCTTCCCGCCACTCTTCCCTCTGTCTGGGGGATCACGCCTTCCGGCACACGCGAGAGGGACCGGCTGGCCCCGAGCACATCCAGTGTTACGCCCCGCCTCCCCGCCTCCGGCTCTGGGGCACCCACCACCACCCCCCCGTAGTGACGGCCACTGTGTCCCAACGGCCCCCTGCCTCGCCCCGAGTCTGTGTAAGGCCCCCCGCGCCACACGTCCGCGTCGTGGCGACCGTGCTGAGCAACCGCGCGGATTGCCTCAGTTCTGCCAGCCCCCCCCCCCCGGAGGCCGGCTTTCCAAGAGGTCCCCACGGGCGCGGGGCTGCCCTCTGGTCCTGTCACATGCCTCAAGGGTCCCACACCAGAGGAAGCACCGGCGCCCCTGAAAGAGCTTGTAGCTTGACAGCCGTGGAGGTTCTGACCATCTTTTAAAACATTTATTACTTCCTAACTCATTCTGTTTTTGCCCCCTTCTCCTTGGCTTGTTCCCTCGTGTTTTACTCAAAATAAACATGGCCATGAACTCAGGGGCCCCTGGGATCCTCCCCTCCGGCAGCCCCGGTGGAAGCTGGGAGAGTTCCTGGCCCCGGGGTGGGGGGCGGTGGCTGGGTGGTCCAGCTGGCAGCTGGGGCCCACCCTGTGGCATCCTGACGGGCCCCTGGCTGGGCCAGGTCTCAGTTGTGTCTGGAGTTGCGGCTGAAGCTGCAACAGAGGGCCTAGGCCAGAGCCAGTTGCTTCTCGGACAGCCCAACAAAGGCACCGCGAAACAGAGGTGGTCCCCAAGGGAAAAAGCAGACACAAAGCAAAACCTGCAAAAAACCCACTTGTGCTCCCTTCGTGTGTATGTCAAAATGACTATCTGCCAATCGGCCGGGAGGTAATATATGTAAAGCACTGAATCAGGTGCCTGGCGCGTAGTAGGTGCTCAGCAAACGGTAGCTATTACTCTCCTCATTGTCACTGTCACCATTGTGACGCCCGTGAGCCCTCAGACAGAGTGGTATTAAGCAACAGGTTTTTGAATTCGGACACTCACTCCACCTGCTAGAACTAGCCTCCTTCGATCTATTTTTGGCCATAGGTGAAAATTTTCCCTGGGGAGTGTATAAACAGCAAACATAGAAGCAAAAAAAAAAAAAAAAAGTGATCACTGGTATTTCTTTACTCATGTAGGCAAATTCACCAGCCGGTGACCAAAGGCTCATAAGCTTGTTTGCAGACCCTGCCTCCTGGGTGCTTCCGTGACCATCCTTGCAGCCCCATGTCTATGCTGTTGTATGTCTGATTCCACGGGGCCCTGTCCCCACGGCACCAGCCTTCCATCCTTCACAGCAGGGCCACTGTGGGCATTAGGAGACTTGGCTAGGGTGGCACCCTTGTGGGTTCTTGACCACTATGCCTCAGTTTCCCCCACTGGCAGTAGTTGCTCTCTCTACCAGGTACAGTAGCTAGTAGATGACATGTGTTGGGTCCTCAGGTTGTCTCCAGTGGTGGCAATATAGACCCAGATTCCCATCAGGCACTCCCACACCCTGGTTCCACACAACTTCAGCATGGGTCCTGGCCCTTGTAGATACTCGGTAACTACTTGATGAGTAAGTGAATGAGAGGAAGCCCTATTCCATGTTATGGGGTCTTTGGACTCCTCTCCTTGTCCCACCCGTTTTTATCTCCTTGCTTTTTCACACAGGGCTCCTTTCTCAGAACCAAAATGCAGCCCAAGCTTTTCTGCAACCAACATCGCCCCAAAGAAGCTCCTCTCTGTCAAGGGTCCACAAGCTGTGTTGACATTGAGGCACAGGGTATGTGGACAGAGGAAGTTCTAGAAGAGTAGGTGCCTTGGTGCCCTCAGCTACCCAGGGCAAAGGCCTGGCTGCCTCCTGCCCTTCCCCATGGGCTGTGGACAGGGCAGGGCTGGCTTACCCAGTCCTCCTGGCCTCTGCTCCCGAGCGATACTGGCCGACACGTGGCCAGCCCTGGAGGTCCTCAGAAGGCCCACTCAGAGCCAAGTGGACTGTACCCCTGAGATGGTGCAGGCTGAAGGTTTCCAAACACCCCTGGGGACATCCAGAGGGAAGGGCGGGCCAGCAGGCTCAGTAGAGGTAAGGGTGCTCCGGTTGCATTCAGACCCAGAGCAATAAACCCCGTCACCCCATCTCCCAAGCAGGCGTGCTCGGTCTTGTGACCACCACATCCTCCCCGGTAGATTAAGCCAAGCAACGCAGGGGGTGGGGGGTGGGGTTGCTCTGCCCAGTTGGCCAGTCCAAGGTCAGTCTACTGTGCAGACCTTAGAATGCAAGCACACTTGGAAAATATGATCTTGGCCAGTTCCCCATTGGCCTGGTCTACACAGCCAAAACTTCAAACCGGATTAGACTTCCGAAGGCAGTTCCACAGCAAAGCAGGTCCCCCTGCTTCCGGAAGCTTCCTTAGCTCCCCTGACCGGGCACAGTCTCTGGACCTGGGACTCTTCCCGTTGAGAGCTCCCAGGACACAGATCATGCTGGCAGCCCCACAGCCAAAGCTTCAGGGCAGCCACAGAAGCAACCACCCCGCCAGCAAGTCAGATGCACGGGTGCCAGGCACCGGACATTGGACTGGGATCACCTTTGCCTCATGGGAAGAAGAAAACTTGGAGGCTGGCAAGTGCAGGCGCTCAGCAACAGCCAGAGGGCTCAGCCCAAGCAGCAGGAACAATTCCGCTGGGGAGAGGGCTCCTTCCCTTCCAGAAAGTGATGCTTTGTTCTACTGTCAGGTGTGGCTGTCCCCCAGGGCAGTCAGGTGAGCGGTGCCCCTGGCCCACCAAGGCCGAGGGGTCAGGTCCAGGCCAATCCCCCAGGGTCCCGCTCACCACTCTGAGTTGCTGCTGAGACCAGTGGACGTGTGGGGACGTGCTCCAGGCGTGCTTCTCCTGGCAGGATTGCTGGTGTGTTCAAACTACCTCACCAACAGGACACTGAACCAGGAGGCTGCCACCCAGCCGGCCTTTTGGCTATTGGTGGAAGTTGATGTTCCTCCTAAAACGCACCCTTCCCATTGTGCTCCAAATGCATGGGCTTCAAAAGCCACCACTAAGAAGCCTTGCCCCACGCTGGAAAGGATAGCAGGCTGTTGGTCTTCGGACCTTGCAGAATATGTCGGAGGGAGGTGTTCCAGCAAGGTCCAGGAGCTGGAAAGCTCTGGGGTTGGGGGGAGATAATGGGCCACGGGCCTCCAGCAGGGCTGGTCAAGCTGAGTATGTAGCAAGGACCCTATGTGGCATAGTTGAGTAGTGATCAAATGAATCCCCCATAACTCACCCCGGGACCCTCTGAAAAGAGTTCTGTGCTATGGTCATGATGGCAAGGACAAATGCCAGCAGCCTCCTCATTAGTACCACCCAGTGATAAGGCCTCCCCTGGGCACGACCCAGGGGCCATCAAGTAGCAAAGTAGCAAATGTAGCAATAAGGGGCTTGGGCCTTAAAGGGACGGGGTCCAAATGATCCAGTCTTGGCCCTCTCCCCAGTCCCAAGGAGGGCTCAGAGCCAGCTGCTGTCACCTGCCCAGGGAGGGCTCCTGGTCTATATACTATGCTCACTCACAGCATGAACACAGACACGTTGGAATGGCCTTCTCATAGTGCATGTGGTTCTCATTAGTTTATTTTTCTGGAATTTGGGGATTGGGACCCCAGAACCAAACATGCTGGTACAGTCTAAAAATAAATGACTTGAACCCACTCTAATCCAGCTAACTCTGTGTGGCTCCTTGGTTTGGGGGTTTATTGGGCAGGATTTACTGCTAGAAAAAAAAATGTACCACCTCTCTTCCTTCTCCACTCCCCACCATCCCCATTAATCTCACACACACACACACACACACACACACACACACTGTTTCCCCCTCTCTCCCTAGCAGAAAGCTCAGGAAAGCCAGATCTCTGGGGTGTGGGACTCATCCTGGCAGGTTGGGACAATGGTGTCACCGGAAGGCTAGAGCCCCAGACTCTGCCAAGTTCTCTTTGGCTGCATGGCCCCTATGCCCCCTTGTTTGTGCTCAACCACAAAATCCAGTGGCCTGATGAACACCAGCAGTGGCCAGACACCACTCTGATGCCCTTAAATAAAGTCCCAAGATTGAAGCCTGCTGCATACAGATGATGCTCCTTATAGGGAGCCTCGGTTTCCTAAGCGACAATCCCATCTCCCACTAATACTGAAGCAGCAGGGTTCTGAGAGCCTGGAAGTCAGGTTGACAGGAGGAGGACAAGAATGAGAGAAAAAGGGGCCACACACTGCTGCAATCTCCCCGTTAACAACAAGCCTGGTACCTAGCAGCTCGCTTCGGTGGCAGAAAATTTGCTTCTGAAAACAGGAGTGATCTTAGAGCCATGGGAATGGGTCCTCAGTCACACCTGCATGGGAACCAACTCGTCTCCCAACCCCTGGGCCACCTCCCAGAGCGGGACTTCCTGCCCCATACAGTCAAGACCAAATCCACACCAGCCCCAGCGCCTGAATTGT